TGACTCTGATGATCTTGTATGTTTTTTTACAATTATTTAGTAAAGGGACAAAAATTTTACAAATAAAAGCCACAAATAACATTGAACAGAGTTACAATTTAGGACACAGCTTCCTTGTTTCCTCTTTTAATAGCATATAGCAAAAAAACTTGGAAAATTATTTTTCCAACAGAAATAAATAGAGTCAAAGTGCAAACTTTAAACCCTCATAACTTCAAAATTTTTATAGATAAAATTTTTTTAACATTTTTTCCATGTTCCTGGTATCTTACCTTATATGGCATTTTTCTCTGGGGCGCGAGTTGTGGCGCACCCTGTATAACTGATTATAGTAACTTAGAGAAAAACTAGCCTCGGCTATCTATGTCTAATTTTTTTATTAATTTTATTTTAATTTTAGAAAATAAAAATGTTTTTTTTCAACTAAAAAATGTATCATATACGTATAGCTAGCCAAGACAAAGTCGAGCTTAGTATACCTATTTCCTTATTTTACATTATTTTTTATGGCTTAATCATTGACGACAATGTGGACAGATTTTTTTATAAAAAAACTATACATCTAGGTTATTTCTTATTTGTGTCCACTGCTCTGAGGTTCTACTGTATTTACTTGTAGTACTAATTTTGTATTTTTTTTATTTTTGAAACTTATACTAAATAGAGTAACAACATTATTAAATCAAAATATTTAACTATTTGACAATTTATTTATTTTTTATTTTATTGTTTACCAAATATTATTGGTTCTCACTAATGTGAGAACATTTCTTTCTAATCTCTACTTATTAGTATCTACAATCAAGTTAGAAAATAGTACTTTTCAGTTTTAATGTCAATTGCGACGAGGTTTTACTGTATTTGCATTACCTAATTACTAACCTTTTTTTATTTCTTCTAATTTTTATTTTTTTAATTGTGCATTAAAATAATTTCAAATAATTTTATATCACTATAAATCATTACTATAAGATAAAAAATAGATAAATAAATGTAATACATTAGATAAATAGTAGCCTCGGCTTCGCATTGGTTAGCATTACGTGATTTTATTTTAATTTTAAAGAAAGATAAGTTTTTTCAACTAAAAAATAAATATCATTTATATTTTTTTATTTTATTTTGAATGATTAAATCAAAATAAGTATTTGATATTTTTTTGATATATCTTTAATAGAATTATTTATTATTTATTTTTGCCACTTATTGGCTTCTAGTAATGTGGAAACATTTTTGTTTGTTTGTTTGCTAATTGTAATTGTCCACTGCGATGAGGTTCTACTGTGTTTACATTCTACTATTAACTTTGTTTTATTTTTTATTTTTTTATTTTGTAAATATCCTTTTTGATGGATGAGAAATCACGACAATAAAATGAAATAATATTTCTGTGGTGATTTAATCGCAAAACATTACAACTTCATTAAAACCGGATATTTCTTCATTTCTTCGATGCATCTCAATTTCGTTAAATCTTGTTAGAAAAATGGGTTAGTTAAACATGGATGAGCACACATCACAAATACGATATCTCGTCCCAACATTGCAAAATAAACTCGTTTTAAAATGAGTGAAGAAAAAAGTGGAAAAGTCCCCACAAAATCACCACAAGGTTTCCATCAATGGCAAACAGTTTCTTTTCCCCGATAATGAGCAACAATTTTCAATAATAAATAACTTGTAACGGTAGTTCGATAGACTTATAAATCATAATAGAAATAACATTTGAGATAATTAAAAATCGTGCAAAAATCTTTGTTCTGTCATCCGTTACACAGAGTGTCCATTTTTCTAAAAAGTAGTTTGACACTCGAGTTTAAAGGTCTCGAGTTCAAATAGCGTATGTTTCGCTCTTCTTTATATTCGTTTTGTTCCGCGTTTAGAGAGAGAGATGACTTAGATTAATAGCCACTTTATTGCTTGGTGATTTTTTTTTATAAAGTTTGTGACTGCAACGCCCTCTCTCATAATTAAAAGTCGCCGCGATTTTTTCACAACAACCATAACCTAGCCTAAGCTGAGTTATTTCTGTTAAAGTAGGCTGTAAAAGAACGCAATAAGAGAGAAAAAAAGACATGCAAATAAAGTACTGTAGAAAGAAACGGCAGGTCAACGAACTAAAGATATGCGTCTGTCTCTGTCCCACGCACGGAACGAGCAGTGGCGGCGACTGGAACAAACCCACCCCTGATACATCTAAAACCAAGACTAAAACCCGTAGACCTACTTTACCCCAACCACCCCTACTAATTTTCCACTTCTAACAACGATAAAACAACCCTAATGTTTTTCACCCGAGGAAAGTTACTAAACCCAGATGAAAAAAATAATCAAGTAGGCCCTACTAAACCAAAAGTGAAATATAAAATTACCCCCTGTGAAAAAACAAAGAAAATGATTGATTTTTTGTGAGAATATTTGAATTTCGGCACGCCACTGACTTATATGTATACATGCACACAGCCTCCCATACTTAACTGAATCTGTGTAGGGTAGGTCAATGCATTTTATACTTGTTTTATTTTCTAGCTGGTACACTCTTTCGTTTCTTTTGCAACTTTTTAGTTTAGTTTACACTGCAAAATATAAGGATCTATCTTTATATTGGCGGTATTTATAAATTTTAAAGCGAGTTCGTTCACTTTTACACATATTGTGAGTGATGGGGATTTTTTCGGTGTACACTCCACGACATAATTAATTGCAAAGATGATTAGGTAGCCACATATGGACATAAAGGGGCGGCGTTGGAGAACAAAAGACGTTCAATGAAACAATGAAACACTTTTCTGAGACATTCTGACATCAAAAATTGGCGAAACGTACTCAAAAGGGTACAGTCGAAAGCAGAAAAAAGTCCCAACCAGAAAAAAGTAATAAAAACTTGTCACTTGTAGAAAAGATCAAGATCATTGTATGTTTATTTGAAAAATACAGGGTGCGCCAGAACTCGCGCCCCAGAGAAAAATGCCATATAAGGTAAGATACCAGGAACATAGAAAAAAATGTTACAAAAATTTTTACACTTTGACTCTGGAAAAATATTTTTTTAGTTTTTTTGCTACAGGCTATTAGACGAAGAAACAAAGAAGTTGTTACTCTGTTCAATGTTATTTGTGACTTTGAAAATTTTTCCTTTACTAAAAAATTATAAAAACAACATATACAAGATCATCGGTATCATTAAGTAGACATAAAAAATGTCAAATGTCAAAAAATAAATGTCAAAATTTTTTGACAGACAACATTTTTTAAACTTTTTTCCAAGTTCCTATCTTACTTGAAATTTTTCTCTGGGGCGCGAGTTCTGACGCACCCTGTGTGTTTACAAAAATGAGTACTAATATAAAATTGCTAGTCTCGGCTACGCTTTCAAAATTTGTATTGTTTAATTATGTACGAAAATTCGTTCAAAACTTAAAATATAAAATATGTTTAAAAAATTGAAACGATTCTAAAAGCACCAAAATTTACTTGCAGAAACCGATTTGGACCAATTTGTATTAATTAAAATTAGTTTGAGACTAAAGGTGTACGATAAACCGGTCCAAAATCGGTTTTTGTAATTTGAAATTGCATTACTGGTTTAAAACCTGTCTAAAAGAAAGAACATATAAAAAAAACTTCTTTTTAAAAACCATAGGAATTAACGAAATAAGTTGAAAAATGGTATTCTATTACTTTTGCAACTAAAAAAATTAATAAACACTTTACTAATGTTTTATTATCTATTAGCCTCGGCTTTGCCTCGGATAGTCATTTCATAGCATTTACTGCTTAATTATTATCAACTAAATTTCCTTAAGATTTGCTTAAAAATCAAAAATTGAAAATACCAAAAAAATTGATTATGTATACTTAAGCCTATTGAAAAAAGCATCAAAATTTACTTTATTAGCAACTGGTTTGGACCAGTTTTTCGTTAGAATTGCATTAAAACTAAATAGAATTTTTTTAAATTTTACTCCGAATCGGTTATTATAATTTGAAATTGAAGTACAAGCAAGCCTGTCTAAAAACGACTGAAAATGTGTCAAAAATTTTTTTTCTAAAAATTATTATAGAAATTAACAAAATAAATTAAGATATCATTTTCTATTATTTTTTTTTTGGCTTTGCCTCTATTAGCCAATTAAATTTTACTAAAATTTGCATTTGCAAAAACGTCGGTTTTATTTTTTTTTTTAAATCAAGATTTACTTTAAAAACTGGTTCGGATCAGTTTTTCGTTGGATTCGCATTAGAACTAATTCAAACCTATTTTTTAGTTGTTTCTAAGATAACCGGTTCTGAACTAGTTCCAAATTAGTTATTGTTGTTTGTAATTGTATTACTGGTTTCAAACCGGTTCAAAAACTGAAATAAACTGACTTTATTTAAAGTATTCGTAACAAAAATTATTATATCAACTAACAAAATACCTTAAAGTGTTTTATTTTGAAATAAAAAAAATCAATGACCAATTTACTCGGCTTCGGCCTCGGCCAGCCATTTCATAACTTCTTAATTATCAACTAAGTTTGTCGCAAAACCGGTTTTGAACCAGTTAAACTGAAACTATTCTGAAATTCATTTTCCAAACCAGTCCAGAAATAGTTCCAAAATCTGAAATATCATTTAAGGCCAGTTTCATAATCGAATTAAAATAAATGTTGGTTTAGAATGTGAAATTTTCGTCAACAAATCTGCAGGAATCAGCACATTCTAAACCAAGACTGATTTTAAAGTCTCTTTAATTCAATTAGATATTTCTAAAAAATCTCAAAGTGCTGAAGAATGCAACTAAAATTTCCGAAACGTGTCCTAATTAATTATGCCCCCAGCCCCCCGTGCCCCTTGACCCATCCGAAAATACGCCAAAGACTTGCAAATCAACGTCTGAGAGCAACAATAGCGTCCGGTTATTGACATTCATATACAGAGTGATTGAAAAAAAGTGAAAAACAAAGGAGTGGCAAGCGCCGCCATCTTGAAAATACAAGCACAAACATCAAACTTACCCGTGGTTGTCGCAGTCCAGGTGTCAAGTCACGATTAGGATTTTTTTATTAATTTTCTTTTAACAATTAGTAATTTTGTACTTTCCCAAAGTAAGCCACAAGTTTATTAATTTTTTTGTGTATTTTTATAGTGATTTTTTTATTAATAATATACAAATTTTTCTAGTAGGAAGGTTTGTTTTAAGGCCGACAATAAGGCACTATAGTCGAATTTTTGGAAAAATACTTTTAGTTGCGACAAAATAATTATTTCAACACCTAAACTCGCAAAACTTAGTTATTACTTTTATATATTTCTTTTTTCTTCTTCTTTTTTAATAAATTAATTAATATTGACGAAATCACAGTTTTGGTTTGTTTTATTCGAAAATTTCTCGTTTAAATGAACAGTTAAGTCGAACAATTAACGTAAAAAATCGCGTCAGTGTTATCGATTGAAATTCACTAAAACTTAGCCCGATATTGCCCGGTTTATTGTTATATATTGGTATATGTTAGTATAAATAAAACAAGATGCCCTTATTTGAACTCAAAACATGCACTCGATGTTAAATGATTGAAAATGCGTTTGTTGTTAGTTGCCCGATGCACTTTTCAATATTTAACGGTCGTTAAAAAACGTGTAAACGTGCCCTTAGTTAATTGAACTTAATTAAAAATTGATCCTCTTATTGTTATAGCTTCCTGCGTCCGGTGCGTTTTATTCTAAATAGGAACATTAGCCAAGATTTATCACGAAATTTAATTTTTGTACTACGTTTCGAACTGTAATTTCTGCAAATAACATGTCGAAATTAGTATAAATGCGTTATATAAATCGTGCGAGACTTACGGTTTGTGAATTTTTTCGTTTTGAGCTTGATTTTTTTTAACTGTAGGTATAGACTGGGTTAAGGGTTTGTGTAAGGGTATTTAACGCAGTTGGCTATGCACTGAAATTTTCCAGGGTTGAAAATGTGTACTGGAAGTACATAGATGGTGTATATAGATTGCATATAGGTTGTACATAGTGATGTGTGTGGCCCTGCCTATGTGTGAGAGACAGAAAATCTCTCTCGAATTGTCGGAGAGGGCGGTGGGGTAGACATTTGACGCTATAGCCGCATATCCTGCCGAGGGTGGATTTCGCATTTGGACACGTTCGAAACATCGATGCATTATTGCAATTTTCACAGAGAGTTTTATCAACCAATCCGCCATTTTGAAACAATTCTAACGAAAAATCACCAACAATCGCTCCAAATAAAAAAAATATTAATCTAAAACCGCCATTTTGCAACAAATGATATAAAAAATTTAATTGCAAGGTTTACAGACGACTTAATCGAATCGAGGTTTCGTTTGTTTGGCCCGTTTTGCAATTGTTTTAATTTGTGGTCTCAATCAAGTTGGCCAAAAGGTATTAAAAATTAAAAAAAAGAATTGGTTTTATTTTCAATTTTTGAAAATTTTTAACTCCACTGTGTATATACAAATATTTTATTTTTATTAATTAAGTAATAACTAAAACATAAATAAAACCAAATCTTTGAATAAGTACGATCAGGTAAGTAAAACACTCTGTATAACGTACAATGTACAATACCATCAACAATAGTGTCGTCACCGAAAAACGATTTAAATTTTGCCGCTTAGTGTACTTTGTTTATTTTTTTGCACAAAATAACTATTATTCATTACTTTTAAATAGTGACTTATCATAAACCACAGATAATAAATATAAATTTTGTAAGTAGAAGATGATTTATTAAAAAAGATCGTAGACAAAATGTCGTATTTGACTCGCATATAATGGATATATATTAGCCCTTGGCTCGTGCTTAAACTTTATTTTCCATTATAGGCTCGTTAAATAATATACTATTATTCATAATCATAAAGTAATAACCAGAAAATATGGAGAGTATGACACTTCAACCTTCAACATCATTTAACAATTCATATAAAATACATATAAGTAAAGTTCAGGTTGAGAAATGGCCACTTCCCTACCTGAACTGTCACTGTATTTTTTTTTAATTTTCATAAATTCTTTATGGGCTTTTGGTTGTTTAAGAAGAGAATGATTGTAAATAAAATAGTATACGTATGGCGGAAGTTGCTTCACTCGGCTTATCAAATTTGACCTTGGTAATGAAGCACTTCTCATCTCGATATGTAATCTACTATTGACCAAATATTAGATTTTTTTTGAATTGGTTCAAGAACGATTGAATTTATTACAGATGTCAAAATATTGCTTTGTTAGGAATTTATTAAAAAAATAAGATAAAAAAATTAACCGGTTTTGCACCAGTATTTTAAGTTTAAATCACAAAAACTGATCCTGGACAGGTTTCAAACCGGTGTATCTTACTAAATGCAACTG